CCTCAGGAGATGTAAGAAAATGTTTTTCTCCCTGAGCCTGGCCTTCATAATTCCATTCCATCACAAAACCAGAATTCTGAAGTGCATCAGGAAGCCTACTGGAAGCCAACATAGGACCCAAAGCACAGATGTGATGTGCTCTCAGCACAAAGTGCTGGTTAACAAATGGGCCACTGCATTTATTGCAACTGCAGCTTCCAGGTAGTCTTCAAAGAGAGCCCCATGTAGACCACATTTCAGTAATCCAGATGAATGGTGATGAGGACATGAATTACTGTGACAAGGTCATTCCACTCCAGGCATGGCCACACCTGGCATACCAGCCAGAACTGAGCAAAGGTCCCCTGGCCATAGCCTCCACCTGCTCAACTAGGAATATCTAAGCGTCCAAGAGGATTCCCAATCATGGACCTGCTATCCCTTCCCTGTCAAGAGTGAATATTGGGGCCAACAGACAATCTCAATACACAGCATCTCCACCTTGCTTGAGTTCAACTTCAGCCTGTTACATATCATCCTGATTCTGTCAATCTCCAGGTACCAAGACAAAACTTGGATACCTTCTCCAGCATGTTTTGGGATAGCAATGTACAATTAGGTACCATCAGGATATTGATACCATACCATAAATTGATGAATTACCTCTCCCAGAGGCTGGGTGATGGACGCTAAAAAATAGGGGAGAGGACAGACTCTTAGTATCCTAAACAGAAGTGGCACTGGGCCAACATTTCCCCATCTGTGACTGGAACCGCCCACTCAAAGAGAAGTGGAACCACTGTACAACAGGCCTCCCAACTGTCACAATCAATCAAGAAAGGCAGCATGACTGATGGTACTGAATGCCACTGAGAGACCTAGTAATGACCAGAAGCAGTGTTTTCCCTATCAAGGCCCTGCCACAAATAATTAATTAGACTGACCAAACCATCTCCATCTCATGCCCAGGATTGAATTTCAATGGAAAAGGGCTGAAATAATCTGTTCCTCTAGGTCACTCTATAGTTTATTCCCACCTACCCCCAAAAAAGGAAGATTGGAGATAATTGTCCAAGACAGCCAGATAGGGCACGCTACTGCCTTTTTCAAGGATGCTGAAAGCTCCCTCCTCCTCCCATTCCCATGACCCACATCCCCACCAATACATCATCCATTCCAGTCTGATTCCTCCCAAACTTCCCACTGAAACAACAATTACTTAGTGACATCACTCAAACTTGTCTAGAATACATCTACAGCACTTCATCCATCCTTCAGATCACTCAGTATCTTTCAACATCCTTCCGTGAAGCCTTCAAAACAACTGAACATCCTCTCACTAATGCTCAAAGGAAAAGGTCTCCACCCCCTACTTTACCCTCCCACTGTAAACAGAAGCCATCATCTTGTTGTTTTATATTCTACTTAAGGCGGCTGATAACAATGTGACTCCAGCTGAGGAACCTTTCTGTTTCCTAGTTTAATAAGGAAATTTAATAATTTAATGGATAATAATGCCCATAGCAAGCCCCTAAAGTCGTTAGAGTCCCATAGCCAGCCCCAGACAGAACAAGGCTTTGATACAGCAGGTCCCCAACTCCTTTGGCCCAACAGTATGGACTTCTTGATACCCTGTGTTTGATGAAGCTTGACATTCAACAAATTACTTGAAGACTACCCGAGTAGGGAAGGGTAGGATTGGGCAATCTCCACTGCCAGCTCCCCCTACCTTTCATTAAACCCAGACTGTTACTACTCTGTTCTTTTGGAGTCTATCTGGAATGCAGGTATGTCCACCACAGGTAATCCTGCACACATTATCCATTCCTGTACTAGTTTTCTCATTTTCTGTGGGGTAGGCAATCTGCACACATTCTCCAGAAACCTTTAGCATAGCAGAGAACCCAACATTGCCTAACAGCTGTGGCAGCCACCATGCTATTCAGCAGACCATTGTGGCCACAGCTCCATATTGCAACACCACCAACACAATCAACTTGAGCCATTTTTCCAACAACGATGTCTCTCTCGGAGCTCATTCAGCCAATGAG